ATCATTTTAAATTTGGATAAATTACTTTAAGTGAAACTAAGTGTCATACTTACGAGCTGTTCACATTTCACAGTAAATAGCTGGACAGTTTTGGCTACATTTTTTGCAATGATCTGACTCAGAGTGGAATTGATATTTGCTGCATTCAATTCACTAAACATATTCAAAACTTTACAATTTATTTCATTTATATTACTTTTTATAAACGATATTACCTAAATATAGTTTTTATGATGTTTTCTACGTCGTCTTTTGTTGGTGCGTCTTGGCTTCCAACCGAAAATACAACATTCACAGAATCAAACAGACGGGAGAGAGAACGAGAAAGATATGCATTTTCAAATGGAATTAAAGTTGCATGAAGAGCTTGATCTGGTCTAATAAAAATTATTTCCAGATATATTTCAGGTAAATTGGAAACATTTGTTAAATTTCTAACCAATTTACCTGAAATTCATTAAAGTTGCAGTAGATTCATCACATGTATCCTGAGAACTCACAACAGCTTCAATACTGGTCTGAGATATTGCATTCAACTGCTGTAATCGTTTCCACAGATCAGTATGTAGACGTAATAGTTTGGGGTATTCTCCTTCAAAAGCCTGTTTGATGAATGTTGATTCTGAAATTGATGCACCATGCTTTGTACCTGATATCAGAATCAGACAATTTGATAAATCAAATATTTACCTTTTGCAGCATCAGCAAATTGTTTAGTTAAAATTTCTGTCATCATCTCCCAAAAATTCTGTACAATATCACTATCTTGATCCTAAATATAAAAATTTCATTTTTAAATAACATATCTTTAGATGATTAAATATTTTAAAGTAAACACATTTTACCTTTTTCAATTCATCTAAAAAACAAACATGGGTTACTGGATCTCTTTTTTTAATAAGTACTTTCTGCAGATGCTGAATCTAAATTTGTAAAATGGATTTCTAAAATTACATTATAGCTAATTTGTTTTGATATAATTAAAAGTTTTAATTTATTTTCATATTATTAAAATGTATTTTGAAGGAAAAAATTCATAAACAAACAGTTGAATTCATAATTTTATGTAACTTATTAATAGTTTGTGTTTATACTGCTACTGCAAACTTCTACAAGGTACAAAAGAAAATTTCATTCTACCCCAAGATTATTTGTAATGAGTAATTTAATATACAGTATTTATATATGCATATCAAGCTGATGTCACAATGTGTGTTGCCTAGTACTGGCTTAGCTGTATAAGCAAACTGATTACATAGTCCATTTCATTTAATGTGCATTGTTATTGGTTTGGTTATCCAGCCTGTATTAGGCTACACACAATCTAGTCAATTCTGTCACTTTCAACTTGTCATATGAATTTCTATAGTCATGTTACCAATCTTTCTTTTACCAATCTTGCACTGTTAAGATTTTGATATCACTCATGTCATAGAGGAAATATTTATTGATTCTTTAGAACTATTCCTCTGTGGAAGTTGCTTAGAAGAATTTCTTACAAAATGACAAAAACTGCAATGAATTAATAAGCAATATATAAAATATATTTAATTATACACACATATTTTCATAATTTCAATAATTTAACGAAATAATTGTTATATTCTTATATTTATTGTAATTAGTCAAAATAAGTGGCATAAATATTTCACTGCAGATGAGTGTTTCACCATACACAATGACCATCACATGAAACATCCAACATGTTTCATGTTATGGATATGAGTCATTGAAGGAACCTCCTAATTTCTGCTGAATATTATTGCATAGCAGGACATTAAATTGGTGACCTCATGGTCAATGATCAAACCCATGATGATCATATGAATTTAGTTTGATATCAAATCTAAGAGGTTTTCTGTTAATATCACAGCAAACTTGTAGATGGACATTTGCATATCTGTATATTATATATATATTAAAAGCAAAATGTTCAGTCCCCACCAAAATCAACACTTACCAAAAAAAAAGTGTCGAGTGGGGTCTACAATTCATTCCTTGAAAAGACCACCCACCCATTAACTTCCTCTGCATACTGATATAAATTTGTGGAAAGGGTTAACAAAGGGAAGGAGAGTCTTTGTAGGAATAGAAGGATACACAAAAAGACTTCACTTTTAATTCAGATTTGGAGTGGAAGAGATGGCTATTCATTTGCTTCCTTAACATCTATTCTTTAAGTTTGAATTTTCAATAATAATCTTTGGTGATACTATACACAGAATACAGATTTAGTTTTAGTTTTTGTACTATTTTTAATAATTTATGTGTGTATATATATTAAAAGCAAAATGTTCTGTCATAGCCACACACAAATAACATAAATTTAAAAATTAATTTGATTTACAATTTTAAAATTTCAAAGCCCAACATTTAAACTATTTTTAAAAACGTTTTAATTTTTAATTGATTTGATTTTAATAAGTTTTGGTTTCAGTTGGTGTAAAGGATAAAATTTTAATTACTACTTTATTATTTTTAAATCATTATTTTTAGGTTTAATTTATTTAGTATTAATTTAGTTTTAGTTTTTATAATTTATTTAATTTTGCCTGCACTTTTTGAACCCTTAATTACAATATTTTTGGTTAATTGCAACACTTTTTTCTTTTGCAACATAACTATAGAAATTGTTTAGCATTATTTCTCACAAAAGATAAAATAAATTTTGTTAGTAATTTGATTAATTTTTGTTTTATAAATTTGCCTGCTTTTTAAAAATTTAATTAATGTTAACTCACTTAAAATTAAACAATTGAGTACTTACTAAAAGCCTTTTTACCAGGCAACATACTCAGTGATATCATTAAGTATGACAAACACAATCATATCAGCAAAATTAATCATATATCACTGGTTTTATTTGTTTTAAATTGTTCAAGAATACATACTTCTAGTCTCTTACTACCTTATTTAAAAAGTTATGAATAATCTGAACTATCAAACAGGTCAAATGAACCAAACACAATAACTAAGTAGGATATTAAATTCTAATTTTGGGTGTTTAAAATGTTCTTATTTAAGGTTCTAGAATTCAATAACAACAGCAGTGTATGTATATACTGTATTTGTAAATGAGTAAAGAAAATCAATTCCTGGCATACAGAGATAGAGTATTTGATCAAATGATTTTCATAAATCAAGTCAAACTTACATGACTACAAGCTGTATATATTTGGTCCATAAGATTTTCCATATTTGTCCATAATGTGGCTCGAAATGATGCAGAATTCCCTATAGTCGGTATTGCTGCACGACCAGGAGCATCTGCAAGTAACAAAAATATTTAGGGTTTTAATTTAGCTACAGTTGCTGCATGAATAACTGAAATCATCATAAAAAATAATAATTTTCATAAATATAAATACTTTTTATTGGCATGTTTCCTGGTTGCTGACTTAATAATTTAATATCTAAAGCTGTTTTGATATTTTCTCTTAATTTTGTCAAAACTTGATTAATTACTTCATTCACTGATGGTTGTAAAATTTGTAAATTGTGGAAAACTTGGAGAGCTGTAGCTACTTGAGCTTGATTCTAGAAAAATTTTAAAATTAGTAAACAGTTACTATATATTATATGTATTTTTTCAAATATATTTACCTGAGTTTCCATTCCTTTTTCTAATAATAACTTTGCTTGTTTTTCAACTTGAACTCTTGCATCTTTGATTAACTTTTGATCCTTTTCAATCACCTCCAATCCAGACAAATCAACATTTTCCATTAAATAGCCTAATTTTAAAATTAAAATATTCAGTAAAATGCAAAATACATCCTTAAAGAGAGATGGATGGTAGCATAAAGGCAGTTAGGTGACAGCTTTGGGTGGCATTTTTCTTAATAAACCCTCTTCTTAAAAGTACTTTGAATATTTCACCATAAAAACAAAAATGTACGGATGTGTTGTAAAGGTGCAACAGTTTAAGTTTTTATTCCTATTATTAATTTCATACATAATAGGGTGGCATTATCAAGCTTACCTCACTTTGCTATTTTTCACCATCCAGCCCAATATGTAAATTAGTGTTTCAATTACCTAATTCATTTAGACACTGTGCTGCTTTTGTTATTTCTCTCACTCCACCCTGGAGTTGAGTCTGTAAGCGACCACTAAGATGCAAAATTCTAATAATACGTCGGAGTAGATCACAGGTCATCTGCAATCTGACAAGCATGGTTGTTTGAGTGGCTACTTTATTATATGGCTCGATAAGCTTAGAACGTAACCTATAAAATTAATAAAAATTCAAAAATAAATATAAATAACAGGCAACTCTACTTGTCAACGCTAATGAAATTTGATAATCCAAAACTAAAACATTAAAAATATACTGTACTAAATTAGTACTTTAGACAACCAAGTAGAAATTACTTTATATATGGGAAGCTTTATGTATTATCAGCAACAAGTCATGTAACCCTACTATTTTAGAACTATCAGGACATTGGGTATCTCTTTATAAACTACTTACTTGAGGATTAACTTGTGTTTTTGTTATATAAACTACCAGTTGGCATTCTGGGTTAGGTAATTTTGTTGACTCAGCACTTTCATTTGTACTTATAAATTATTCACACGTTACTGTTTTAATCTGTTTTAATTTCAGTTACCAGTTTTAATTTTAAATATATATATATTTTTTAATTCAATTTTCTTTAAAATTATGTAAATCATAACATTCATGTTTTCATTCTGTTTACTCAGATTAATTTGTAAATTATTCCAAGCTATAATGAGCTGTTTGACTTTCAACTTCTGAGGATGACAGATGTGAAAACCACCAAAAGTACTAGTATAAACTTTTAAATGTTTTAGTTTGGTTTTATTACATTTTGTTAACATCAATGAATAAATTACCTATAATTTATATTATATTTGATGTTGAGTTTCTAAGTTAAACCTACTACTAAGTTACTACTATTTTCATATTTGATTAATAGAAAATTTTGAAAGCATACCTTTCAGTAGCAGTTAGAAGAGTTTGAATTCTGCCATGTACTTTTTCTAAAACTCCTTCCAGAGTTTCAATTCCATTTGCTTGTGATAAAAGATCTTCATAATGATATGCAACCTGAAACAATTTTTTTATTTTAATAAGTTATTGTATTATATATTTTAATAGTTAAATAAAAATAAGCAAAAAACTTAATCCACAACAAATATTATGAATATTGAGATCAACAGTAGGGCTTTCAAGGCATCAAAATGTCAGTATCAGGACTCACACTCCAATTTACTAAGTAAAAGTGAAAAAGTGACTGAAAGTGATTAAAAAGAGACTAATAATAATAAATGTCTAATTGATTATTGAAAAAACTTTATTTTATAAAAGACGATTATCCCAACCATGGATTAAATTAAAACTGAAGCACCAACTAATATTTGAAGGCACAAAAGATCAAATATACAAATATCCATAGTAATGTGTGATGCTCAATTAAAGGAACAAACTAAGTGGGGAAACAAAGTAAAAGTATACAATAACTAAAACAAATACATACCAAAATAATCTTTGATATGAATACATAAGAATAATACAATATAACTCCAATTATCCAGATTAATTGAGGCTGACAGCCATATGGATATGCAGAAAATCTGGATATTTCAATTTCTGTTTAAGGATACTAGACTATTATCACAATGTAAAGTCTATTTTTATATACATTTCTACTTAAACTATTTAAAAGTTTATGTATATTGTATTACAATCAATAGTAAATTAATAAATATGCTATACCTGTATAAAATTCAAATTAGTTTGTTGCTTTGTCAACGAATACATTATATTTCATCACAAAAAATTTGCATTTAGCTTCACAATAACAATCTGCATAATTGAAGTTCTACCATACCATATTATTAACAAATAAATATCAAAATAATAAATGGTTTCACCTAAACTCTACTACAAACAGCATGTCTCTGCTCCTCACATATGTCTTATTGAGTCCTGAATATAAATATAAACTATCCTGACAGATAATGACACAATGTAAAATATTGTTAATTACATTGTTTAATTAGAACTTTTAACTGTAATGACTAATGGTTAATTATATAAAAATACTTATTTTATTAAATTTTGAATTAAATTCTAAAAAAGTGACTAAAAAGTAATGGTCCATTTTCTTAAACGGCAACCAACAGCGACACAAGACGAGGCCTATGGGTACCTAAAACATGCGTTGCCATCTTTAGTTATAAAAACAAACAACTTTCAAATTGCTTTTTTTTTTATATATCTGTATGTAAGCATTTAACCATCAAAAGTACTAGCATACACTTATATTTCTTACATACAGTTTGAAAATGTTATATTTGTCATCCGTAAAGCTACACTTGACCTGGACCATCCATTAACTATATATACAATTTTTGAGTCACTTTTGAACCCTCCCTCTCCGTTATGTGCAATAATATAATTTTGGCAAACCTCCTCCCCTTTAATTATGTGTCTAATAGTCCAAGAACCCCATGACATTGAAATAGCTTAAATAAAGTCCTGCAAAAGTATTTATAGAACTTTATTTAGTACCATTTGCTTCCACCATCTTATAAGTCTGTCAGACATTCCAATAAAAGCTTATTATATTAAACTACTCAGGGTTGTGTGTGGAGGGACCCATAGTGTATAATGATACAATTTTCCCAAATTCTTCCACCCTTAGGCACTTCTTAAGAATAAATTACCTGATCATGCAGTTCTTTATCAAGCAATGCTATCCCAAGTGATAACTTATTTAAATTCTCTGTTATGGAAACTTCTTGAACCGCATTTGAAGTGACAGTTTTCACATCAAAGTCTTTAGTTAGGAACTGTTTATATATATCTGTTGAACGAAAAGCATTGTATTACTTATCCAATAATTTAAATAAATACGTGCGAGTTTATTGTGACGCGTATTAATATCAAATAATGCAATTTTACTAAAATATAAACAAACCATCGTTTTCAAATTGTTGCAACACAGCGATGTCCTCCGCCATTTTGTTTGTATACGTCATCTTACCGAATCAAAACTATATTTAAGAATTTTAATTTATCATTTAACCGTGATTATATTTGTATTTTAATTTTTAATTTAAAATTATATTATTCGAGAAAATAATTAAAATAATTTATACGGGTATTGTTTAGTATTCATTTCGATGGTGGTTAAAGTCCGGATGCTTTTATTGTTCATTCTGATTTAAAATCGAATGATCATTCCAAAATTCTATTAAACCTGTTGCAAAACGTACAATTCTTACATTATGTATAATTAATACTCATTTTGCCATATGTATAAAACGGGCGCGTTGCCTAGTAAAGCGGATTATCTGAACGGATTTCCCGGTAGTCGTTGTCAATTTTTGGTGGACAGGGCGCCCGTACATTGGGACACTTGAGAAAGTGTTAGATTGGCTTTTTCCTAATCACCAAATTGACCCAAATTCCATTTAAACAAACAACAGAAAATTCGTGACTTCTAGGTCTAGTCTATTCTGCAAATTTAAAAGGAATTAATGAACGATATTTGTCTACCGTTCCGTGCATCCGTGTTGTATGTTAGCTAAAACTTGGTCTTGAAAACAAAAAAACATTCCTTGTTTTCAAGGCCAACTTAGACCGAAATGTAACAGTTCCATCTTATGGGAGCGCTGAGTTGATGTTAAATCATAATTTAAAGGGCCCGCCAGTGGCCAAGCGGTCTTCGTTCCCTGAACACGGGGAGTTCGAGCCTCTCTCGGACGGGCTGACCACGTGGAGTTTTCCGGCTTTTCTCCACGTCTGTAACACCAAAATAGGGGCTAGTTATCCTTTAAAAAAGACCTCCCGGAAGGCATTCCCTCTAGGCAGATTGCCCAAGTGTTGACGGATATAATTTATTTAGTTTTCTAAATATTGATAAAACACTGTATATATAAATGTTAAGACTTACAAGGTACGAGTTATTTCAAACTTAGGAAAAGAAAATGTTTTGGAATAACGTACTGTAGCATTTATTTCTTAAGATTATCCTCCTTTACTAAATTTTTGTCAAAGTTCAGTAAAGAAGGATAATCTTAATAAATAAATTTTATAGCGTTTCAATCCTTTTACCATGTCGGGTGTACTGGTATTGTTGTAATGTCAGAGAAGTGTCGTTTCTCTAAGACTATTGCTATAACCTTCTTAACTAAAGATTAACTAAAGAGGGCTTAAAGTTAATAAAATGTATTTTGATAATTTATAAAAAAGAATATTGTTGAATAAAGCATTTTTATTGTCTCCAATTTGTTTTCATTGTACTCGGATAGACAATGGATATTGAAGTATATTATGACAAGATTGTCATATTAAATATATGTAAATTAATTTTAAAATATTTAGTAGTCATCCTGTAAATACAAGGCAACTTTATTATTTGTCTTATTTTTTCTACGAGGGTAGTCCCAGAAGTACCCGACCTAACAAAGAAGACAAAAAATTTGGTAAAACATATTTATATTTTTCAATATAATCTCCTTTTAGCTCGATACACTTTTTTCCAGCAATGTACAATAGCTTCGATCCCCTGTTTATAGTGAGAACCGTCGAGCTTCTCAAAATAGCCATCAACCTCAAACTCCACCTCTTCATTATTGGCAAATCTTTTATCACCAAGCCATTTTTTTAAGTTCGGAAAGAGAAAATAATCCGAGGGGGCTAAATCTGGCGAATAGGGTGCGTGAGGAAGCAATTTGAACCTTAACTCATTCATTTTGGCCATTGCAATAACGGATGTGTGAACTGGTGCGTTGTCTTGATGAAACAATACTTTCTTTTTCGCCAAATGTGGCCGGTTTTTCTTGATTTCATCACTCAAGCGCTGCAATAAGTTCGCATAATACTTGCCGTTGATTGCTTTTCCTGGGCGCATCCAAAAAAACTGACGCCATGACCTTGCCAGCAGATGGAACTGTTTTCTCCTTCTTTGGAGCTGATTCTCCCCTTTCAGTCCATTGTTTCGACTGTTCTTTCGTCTCAGGTGTGAAGTGATGGACCCATGTTTCATCCATGGTTATGAATCGACGCAAAAACTCGGCTTTGTTGCTGCGAAACATTGCCAAAGACTCGATTGAAACATCCTCACGA